GAGAGAGAGAGAGAGAGAGAGAGAGAGAGAGAGAGAGAGAGAGAGAGAGAGAGAGTCTGTGTACGCACTCAGACATCAGTAGACTGTGCAATGCACTGTCTGGTGCACACACACACACATACACACAAATGTCTGGGCGTTCCCATTGTGCTTCATGTTGCTTGCTACATAGGCAAAACTGTTTCATCGTTGGGTTGTCTGAACTCAAGGGCTTTCGTTGTCTGTAATAGGATTGAAGATGCTTTGATTTTGATTGTGCTCATCTGGGTGGAACGGGGGCTGCCGTGGCGACGTGTGTGTATGTGTGTGTGTTCAGATGATCCCATGACGTACTCGTCATGCACTCCACCATTACGGTGATACGCCAGGTCCGGTCATGTCCCAATCATACAGTTTTCAACGGCCACCAAGCCAGATGTCCCCCAAAATACAGAAATGACGAAATGGTTGCATCCATGAGTATTGATTTTACATTCATTCCATTCAGATAGTTGAAACATAAATCTGTATAAAAATGAAAAACAACTCAGTAAGGTGGGCATGGGAAGAATCAAGATTGCATAATATAGTAATTGTAAACATAATAGATATGAAAGGCAAGGCTGCAAGTAGGAAACATCAGCCACTCCAGGAGATGGGTGGTGATGGCTGCTTGTTACCTCACCTATCACCGGGGAGTAGAGAAGGAGATCAAGAGAGGGATGATAAAGGAGGGAGCATAAATGTGAGAAAACCAAAGAAAGATAGAGGGAGAACTGAGAAGAGTTCATGAGAACCAATTGAGTACTGATGACATCGAGTATTCCAACGAGTATTCCAAACCAGGAGAAAGTAGTTCCAAAAGAACCCAAAAAGATCAATCATCTGCGAATACCAAAGTTGTTTGTGGCCAGAACCTTGATCAGGATAAAAACCATTAAAGATCGTACTCAGGTAATCAGAATAACCTCTAAAGCAACAAGGGTTCCAACACTGCCAAGCTTAGTGTTACATGCCCAGTTGGTCGATGTACAGATAAACCAAGGATCCGCAATGTGATAAAAAAGAGTAAATGGACAATGCAGTGCAAGTAGAATCTGAACAAGCAGTGTGCATTCTGATACATACAAGAATGGTGCTTTACAGTGCAGTGGAAGACTTAGATACAAGTCCTGACCTGAACGGGACTGACCTCATTCACGTAGTATAAGAGAGCGCAGCAGAATGCTAAAATACCAATGACTACCTCAATCAATGTCGGAATACAGACCCAACATACATCACCCTTGTCACAATGCGGGAAGGAGCCTGGCGCTACACATAGGAAGAATGCGCCAGGTCCAGATCATACACAGACGAAGAGAAGGGGATCAGACGAAGCACAAGGGGGAGATGGGAATGTCGTCAATACCGATCTTTGTTACAAGTCCCAAATAGTCCCTCGTCAAAATGTCTGAAGCCCAAAGTCGAGTCTGGATCCAATTTCACCAAGCTCGCTCTCTCTCTCTCTCTCTCTCTCTCTCTCTCTCTCTCTCTCTCTCTCTCTCTCTCTCTCTCTCTCTCTCTCTCGTAGTCTGCTGATGCAGTGAGGTCAGATAGCGAGAGGGTGAGAGGGAGATGGTGGACTGAGAAGAGGAAGAATAAGAACTCTCTCTCTCTCTCTTACGTGCCAAGTACTAACCTGTGAAGTTGGCGCTGTGCTGCAGGTACCTCGAAGACGAAGCTGGAGCTATGGCGCTGCGGGTAAGTATCCTTGGCCTCCGCCCAATCTCTCTCTCTCTCCGGTACTACTCTAGCTCCTACTAGCGCCCAACGCTGAAGACTACAGCTGACGGTACTAGCGCCCAACGTTGAAGACTACTGCTAACGCTACTACTACTCCTGCAGCGCTCCTCCAGAGTGCTGCTGTCGAATCCTGAAGACTACCTCCTGCCTCCTGAACTGCACGTGAAGTGTCTGGGAAGTACCTAGGAACTACCTCAGTCTACCTACAGCCTGCAGGGCGGGCCAGTCTTATATAGTGCTGGCTCGTCCAGGAGGCTATTGTTGCCAATGCCAAAATGTGCCAGACTCTGGGGTTGAAGCTCAAACAAAGGTTGTCTTGAAAATAGGCCAAAAATGGCCTGAGCTAAAACCCTGGTCTGGTGCCTGAGTTTCAGGGCAGGTCGATTTTATGAGGGCCTGAAAATGACCCTCAGTTTCAGACTGATATGGAAAGGTTCATTTGTAGATGATTGTCTATTGAAAAAACATTCGCGCCAGAGTTGGAAAATTTGGTCACGTAGATCTTGTACGTTGCTTAAATTTGTCGATTACTATGCACAAGTTTATATGTGGCGCCGGACTGTCTTTATTCTTATCCCTCCTAGTTTCCTGAGTTCCTCTTTTGCTTCCTCCGGCCTTTCCTGAACTTTCCCCGCTTGTCATCTCCTTCCTTCCTTCCTTAGTACCTTCTAGGTTTGCCGATTCCCGGTCCCTTGCGGACCCCTGGTTCTGTTCTACGTCCTTTTCTGTGCCCAGACTCTTCTTACTTCGCAAGCTCCCAGCTTGCTCTTCAGTCGCCATCCTTTCCTAATCCTGCATATAGGAAAAAAAAAATTCCCGAAAAAGGCCGGTTGTTCACAGCTTTCCTGATTTCCGGCCCCTAGAGTTTGCTGCCGGTTTCCTTGTCTTAGTCATTTCCATACTTCTGCCTTACAGAGGCCGTGACAGGCTTGTCTGCCTTTTCTCGCTTGCGGGGGCACCGCCTGCTTTTCCTGCTGAAAAGCCTGTTGCTGGGCTTCGACGTTTTACCACTGCCATGCCTTGATTCTAAGGCAGCGTGTCCATGGCAGGCGGGTCCTTCTCTCGGAGATGGGATTTTTGCCTTCCCCGCCTTTAGATACCCCTAGCGTCCTTGGCGGTAGTGGCCATCCTAGTCCCTTCCCGGCACACCCTTAGATAGAGTAGGGCCCCAACCACTATTCTCCGCAGATTGCTATTCTTGTCTTTATTTTTATCATTTCATCGCTAGACTTCCTCGTTCGCCACCCTCCCCGACACTTTTCTCACACCGATTCCTCAGGCTCGCCCCGTTCGTCCGGTTTTTCGAACAGGTTAGCCAATCCCGCAAGGTAGTTTTCTCCCATTTCTATTTCTCTGATAATTATCGGCTCATATTCCTCAAAAGTCAGGAGTGGCGCCCCAAATATCACGATTTCGACGAGTTCTAATAATTCACGGACCAGATTTCCCCAAAACGGCCCATGCCTTACTAACACATCGTAAAACATTCCCGTGGTTTGTGGTCGGAAATGGTGGACCCAGGTTGGGGTCGAGTCTACTAATTCCCTCGCCCTCGAGAGGCTGCCGAATACCAGATCTATCATGAAGCGGGGCACCCGACACCGCTGTCATCGGGGTCCTAAACTCTCGCCATCCTCCTAGTTCCACCCGTGTTCTTAACCCTACGTTTCTCCTTTCCCGAACTTCCTGGCCTATTTGGTTTAGCGCCCTGGCCGCCATCCGGAAGATTGGCAACAACTCATGCCCCATTGCCATCTCGGTACCTAGCATGTGCCATCCGATTTCCGGTAGGTACACGGTCCCGGTCACCTTCAGGTCGGTGTATAAATCGTCTCCTGGTCCCCTGTTGAACCTCATGCCGCTCCATACGCATTCCACCATCATGAAGGCTTAGTCCCTCCCCAAGGTTACAGCCCTCCACTCCGTGTCAATTCCTCAGACCACGTAGCTTGCTGGAAGCGACACCTCCCATCCATTTCTGCTCTCCGTGGGTGGTCGAGGGTGTGTAGGTCGTCGTGACATCCTGGTGCGTCTCATCGCCATTGCTGATTAGCGGATTCCTGCATATTTCAGACAGAAAGCGGGTTTTTCCCTTATTTCATCAGCTCCTTCCGTTATGGCTAGTTTATCTTTCCGCACCTTACCCTAACTCCTTTGTCACCCTTGTCCTCCTTTCCTCCCTACCGTCCTGCCTCCTCCTCTGGCGACTCGAACAGACGATAGACATCGCCTAGGTAGGTCATTCCGCGATCTACTTCGCGCCTAACGATTTCCCACATGGTCTCCTCACTTATTCTCGGAATCCTTGGTCTAGTAGTCACGGCCGCCTATAATATACACAGGACTTTATATCCCTGTTCCTTCTCAAAGGGTCCCATTTCTAGGAAGGTCCGGTAATACTCTCGATACACCGATGTTTCTTCAAAGCTCAGCCTAGTCAGTGCGGTTACCGCCCGCTCAATTCGTTCCGCGCCTCCCATTTGCCTTAGTATGAAGGGCGGCAGGCTCATGCGTACGCTCTCGTTTGGCAGACCAAAGGTTCCTACCATAACGATTCCTACTTTTGCCGTCACGTCGTCCCGTTCCGCATCCGCGAACTCAAACCCTTCTCGCCAGGTTATTTGTCAGGCCTCTTCGAGCATTCGCACGCGTCACCCCCGGAGGCCAGGGTGATCCCAAAGGTCCTCCATCCTTCCTCCGACAGGTATAACGACCCTGCGGCGTGCACGCGCCCTGGGAGGTCCAAATTTACTCCCCCGAATTCCCTTCTTGCGCGCCATTCCGGTTCCATCACCAGGTACACCGTGTCCTCCACCA